GCTGGGACACTGGGCGTGGCCCTCAAGGTGAGCCAAAATTCACCAAAATCCCCAAAATTCACCCCAAAATTCACCTGAACCCCAAAATCCCCAAAATCCCCCCAAATTCACCCAAAATTCACCCAAAATTCATCCAAATCCCCCCCGTGCTGGGAATGATGGGATGTGCTGGGACACTGGGCGTGGCCCTCAACGTGAGCGGGGGGACCTCAAAATCCCCAAAATTCACTGCAAAACCCCCAAAATCCTCAAAATTCACCCCAAAATTCACCTGAAAACCCCAAAATTCACCCCAAAATTCACCCCAAAACCCCCATTTTTCCCCAAAATTTCCCCTAAATCCCCCATTTCTCCCCAGCTCGGTGGTCCCATATGGGGTTCCCCAAATCCCAAATTTCCCATTTTTCCCCATTTTTCCCCATTTTTCCCCATTTTTCTCCCCAGCTCGGTGGTCCCATTTGGGGTTCCCTATATCCCATTTTTCCCATTTTCCCCCATTTTTTCCCATTTTTCCCATTTTTCACAGCTCGGCGGTCCCATTTGGGGTTCCCTAAATCCCAAATCCCAAATCCCATTTTCCCTGTTTTTTCACCATTTTTCCCCATTTTTCTCTCCAGCTCGGCGGTCCCATTTGGGGTTCTCCAAATCCCAAATTTCCCATTTTTCTCCCCAGCTCGGCGGTCCCGTTTGGGGCTCTCTCGCTCTCGGCTCCGCTCTCCTCTTTGTGGGGTTTTTTGCTGTGGTCCCATTTGGGGTTCCCTAAATCCCAAATTTCCCCATTTTTTCCCAATTTCTCTCTCCCCAGCTCAGCGGTCCCATTTGTGGTTCCCCAAATCCCAAATTTCCCATTTTTTCCCCATTTTCCAGCTCAGCGGTCCCATTTGGGGTTCCCTAAATCCCATTTTCCCCATTTTCCCCCATTTTTTCCCCATTTTCCCCATTTTTCCCATTTTTCCCCCCAGCTCGGCGGTCCCATTTGGGGTTCCCTGGCCCTCGGCTCCGCTCTCCTCTTTGTGGGGTTTTTCGCGGTGGGGCCGGGGCCGATCCCGTGGTTTGTGGGGTCGGAGCTTTTCCCCCCAGGACCCCGCGGGGCCGCGCTGGGCTTGGCCGGGCTGCTCAACTGGGCCAGCAACACCGCCGTGGCCATGGCCTTCCCAGCACTACAGGTATGGATTTTGGGGTTTTTATGGGGTTTTGGGGGTTTTTTTGGGGTTTTTGGGATCGGTTATGGGGTCCATATCTACTGGGGGAGGTGGATATGGGGCAGTTTTGGGGCATTTAAATGAGATTTTTGGGGTGGTTTTTGGGTGCCCATGGCCTTCCCGGCATTACAGGTATGGATTTGGGATTTTTATGGGGTTTTTATGGGGTTTTGGGGTTTTTGGGGTGTTTGGGGTTTTCTTTGGGGTGTTTGGGCCGCGCTGGGCTTGGCCGGACTGCTCAACTGGGCCAGCAACACCGCCGTGGCCATGGCCTTCCCGGCACTACAGGTACCCAATTGGGGTTTTTTTGGTGTTTTTGGGGTTTATGGGGTTTTTGGGGTCGGTTATGGGGTCTCAGGTACCCAGGGGAGATAGATACAAGGTGGTTTAGGGGCCATTTTGGGGCATTTAAATGAGATTTTTGGGGTGGCTTTTGGGTGGCCATGGCCTTCCTGCACTGCAGGTACTGTTTTGGGGAAGTTTTTGGGGTTTTCTTTGTTTTTTGGGGCTTTTCGGGGCTTTTCGGGGTGTTTGGGGTGGGTTATGGATTCTCAGACGCCCGTGGGAAGGGATTTTGGGGGATTTTGGGTGGATTTTGAATGGATTTTGGGAGGGAACTTTGGGAAATTTGGGGTCATTTGGGAGAATTTGGTGTGGGATTTTGGGTAAATTTGGGGCCATTTGGGGGAATTTTGGGTGCATTTTGACCTGACATAAATTTGGGAGGGGTCTCACCTGAGCCAGGTGAGCATCACCTCCCAAACCACACCCCAAAAAAACCCCCCAAAACCCCCCAAAAAACCCTAAAAAATCCCAAAAACCCCCCAAAACCCAAAAATCCCATTTTCCCCCCCAGCCAAAAAAAACTCTAAAAACCCCCAAAAAATCCCCAAAAATCCCCCAAAAAATCCCCAAAAAATCGCCAAAAATCGCAAAAAAAACTCCAAAAAATTCCCCAAAAAAGCCAAAAAAATCCAAAAAAAATCCCAAAAAATCCCCAAAAAATCCTAAAAATTCCAAAAAAACCCAAAATTTCCCCTTTTTCCCCAGACCGCCCTGGGTCCCTATGTTTTCCTGCTTTTCGGGGCGCTGCTGGGGGGTTTCTCGCTCTTCACGTTCCTGCTGCTCCCTGAGACTCGGGGCCGCCCCTTCCCCGGGGGGACCCCCCAGGCCCCTCCCCCCCCGGCGCTGCTGCAGAGCCCCGAGAAGGACACGGAGCTCCAGTGTTTGGCCATCCACGAGGAGCCCCAAATTTAAAAA